GTAAGTCGGTAAAAAGTCTTTTATCTCATTACAAGTTTCAAGTGAAACTTAACATATTTGATTGTTAAATGTTTAAATACTAATTGCTATATTTAAGCTTAGGACATATCTCTGATGATAATAAGTAACTGGACTGCTGTAAAAACCTATTTGTTCTCCCCCTAAATTATTTATCTCACATGCACCTATCTAAAGGTTGTATATTACAGCTTTTGTAGTAGACACAATTGAAGATTGATCTGTCACTAGATTTTACTGTAAAGTTAAACCACATACCTGCACACTTCACCTGAAGTCTTTAACCTTTATTTTGTTTACTTAATCATCTAAATAATTTTGTCAATAGGCTTAAGTGATTATCTGAAAGAAAACATCTTGTTCACACTTAGATGGGTATATTCTGATCTTTTGAAGTAGTTGGAAGCCAGTCATTGTGCCCAGGTATGGTGTTTCTATAGAATATACCTGTCTCCCAGTTACCTGGCTAACACAGGTGTGAGGTTTGGGCACCTCACTGTCTCTTATCAGGTACTTTAGTTAATAAGTGTAATACCCACAGTACACTGGGTTACATAAGACAAGATAACGACAGACCATCCATAACCGTGTGTTAAATAGGGTATAACTACAGGTGTGCTAGCCACACTTACCACCTCGTTGGCATCACTAACCTGAACACAGGTACTCATTGGGCTGCTGAGACTGAGTGACAGACAGGAGGTACTATTATCACTTGTGTAACAGTTATAGGATTTATCTGCAGTAGCTTCTATTAAGGATTTATTTGGTAAGATTTTTATTGTATTTTTGACCGATTTCTTTTTCATTGTTTTCCTATGACTTTACAGATATTTTTCTCAATCTTTTTGATCATGGGAAGCTCAGGTGTAAAGTCTTTTCTTTCATCCTGATCCAAAATGACAATTCTTAATAATAAAGAATCAAAATGTTAACTTCAAGATCAAAATTAAAGAAATAACATGTTATGACATTTAATGATCATACTCAATGCTGGAAGAGATAACAAGATTTAAAGATCCATTGACATTTTAATGCTGCAATTAAAATTGACTTTTTCTTACAATTTTTTTTTAATCTGCCATTTTGTAAGCACCTGTCAAAAATCCATACAAAGTTTTTTTTCATCTTCAGTATCCTATGACACGGTAAAGATGTGATGCTATCACTTAGTCCCATGCCTGTCATTGTTATCGGTATAAATTGGTGACAGAAAACTACATAGGACTACAAAACTAAAGCATCATCATTTCTCACCTGGCTTGTTTTTACCTGCCTCTCCTAGCAACATGACATTGAACCAATCACATGTGAGGTCTAACTAGTATTGTGTCACATCAGAACTGCATCCTCTCAAGCATACATAATTATCAGTGTCACAATCACACAGACAGCATGTATTTTTAAAGTGCAACTGTGCTCTGTGAATCTCGGTTCAAAATGGAGTCAGTCCACCTGTAGCATTTGATTGATACTCAGCTGATGGGAAATGTAGAAAAGCTTACAGGATATCCAAAGTGAGTCTGAGGTTTTTGATATGTAAAAATTGCTTCCTGTATTTGCAAATCTTCTTGGTATGCAGGTTAATGTAATCTGTGTTTTTGTTGTGCAAATATTTTATGGATGCTGAGAATTATACGATTTCCTACATTTCTAAGTTGATAGAAATTGATTTATGTGGACGCAGCTCTAAATGTGCCGTAGGTGACAGGTATAACGCTATACTACAGGTGTGTCAGAGTCTCAAACTTGTACGTAAGTTATTGATATTGTGTTTCGTGCAGCCCCTGTAAATTGATTTGGTCTCTGAATCTACATGTGTTAACTTTTTATCCATGTAATTGATACATAAGTTTTTGTTAAATAGAATACATTCAGCTTAATACTGGAAGACTCAATTCATTAAAAGTTTTTAGAACACCTGTTGATGGCCAAAAACAAATATGCTTTCTTCAAAATACCATAAGAAAATATTTTCAATGTTTTATTCGGCATTAAATGTAAAAGTAATGTATTTACACAGAACAGGTGTTGTCCTGTATTACATAGGTATCAGGTACATAGACTTGTTTTTTCACTGACTCAAGTAATATATATATATGTATTACTTTAATGTCTGGTTTTAAATTGGTTTATGGTATAAGAATATTGTTAACAATGTAATTTAATTATTTTTTCAAATCGTTTAAGTTACACATCGTCATGATGACAGAATTGAAATTTACGAAATATATCTTTGTGAATTATTTTCATTTTGATAGAATTTGAACACATTTATGTAACAATAGATAAAAATTACAGCTGGCGAACAAAGATTTTCAGAAATAAAATTAATTTAAATAAAAAAAATGAAAAATTATCAGAAGTGTCCCATAGCTAGATAGGTAGTAAAGATTTTGGATCAAAGAAAGCAGACAGTTTGGGTGCGTGTAATTCCAACTTGGTGTTTGATATTCATGGATAGATTTTTGTTATAATTAAATGGATTAAATAAATTATCCTAATATAAATAATAGTTTTTAGATACCGTACATCACCTACCAAGCTTTTATCCGAAATTGATATTAAGAAGGGGTATTAAGATGGTATCGCAGAACCGTGTATATTTAAAGCCATAGCCAGAGCAGTAGATCAGCAGATCTCTTCATTTATTTCACTTAAATAGGTTCGTTTTTTATTAAAACAAATTCATTATAAATTGAATTGATTGTAAGGAAAGGTGATTAAGTTTCAGTACACCTTTTATCAGGTATGACAGGTGTATCATACCTACAGGAAGAAAATTGATTTTATGATACTGGTACGGAATAATTATATCCATTATTCTATATCATAAATTGTAGATTGAAAAAAAGAGGTTTATTGAAACTGTCTAGTCAAGACAAATTTAAGATTGGTAAAAGCTTTCAATTAATTCAATATCAATTTTCTGTCAATGAAGAAATCGCCTCAGTCATGCTTGTCAGCTAAATAGTGACTTTATATGTTTCGAAATCATATCATTGATCAGAAATCTGAATTAAAATATTATTTATATAATATACACATGTATATATAAATGTATTTGGATTATATAGTAAAATTAATGTATTTACTGCTGAACAAGTTTTACTATGAACTTAAAAATAATAACATGTACTGCTGATTTCAATTTAGTTCATTCTAAAAAAAATCTAAATCTTCAGTTTTATATTTAGTGTCTGAAGTTAAAATATTAACATATACCCCTGCTTATTTTCTATTTAGTTTACACTGTAAAATTAATTCATTCACCTGAAATTATATGTATACTGCTGATTTTATACTAAACTTCCATTGTAAAATATTTACTTGTGTGTATGTTTATAGATACACTGTAAAAGCCTGCTTTAAAATAATGTATAAACTTTAGGTTTTATATTTACCCTACACTGTGAAAATATTTACAATATAAAAAAAACATATTTTTCCTGTAATGTACATCTTTGACATAACACTCAAATTACTAGACAATTAGTATATACCTAGGCACAGGTATGACACATTTATTGGTAAATGCACTGATTGACAGGTACAGTATTTACCTGTCCGATTGTAATTACCTACTCTACCTGAAAGTTTTATAGTAGATAACCTGACAAATGCCACACAACAACCCGACTTCTACACTGATGTCACACCGATAATAAATATCAGATTCATATCTGAAAGTTTTACTGTGGAACATAAAAAATACATACCTGTGCATATATTCGTTTATTATACTCAAGAAAAAATATGATTTACCTGAAAGTTTTATGGTTGTCTATCCCCTGTTGACATGATAATACAAGTCATAATAGACTGTAAAATTGTCTATTGGTCCAAAATATCTCTTTATTCCTTACGCTTAATTGCTAAAAGAGAGAATAATCTAATTGTTTTAGATTATATTTACTATAAACTCACACAATTTATCAGCAGTACAGTGAGAACTCTTTTAAGATGTTATTTTAATGAAATCATAATATTATCTTTACTAATTTTGGAAACCAAAAATTTGCGATAATTCTACGAAAATCAATATTCTTATAAATTTTTAATATGATTAATAAAACGGTACCATAAAAATGGATGAACAGACCACTTACTCTTCCAAAAAGCTTGGTGAATCAATAACAGACGCATTAAACGGTGTCCTGGAGGACAACCGAGCTATTTAAAAATGGTCTATTTTTGAAAAAGAAAATACAACTTCATTTGCATAAGACATCATTTATCAATTAGAGTTGATTAGCTGATACCCAAGAGACCCAGTTGATATGTTGTATTTTGAAATATTCATGCGTGGCAAAGATCAAAAGTAGCCGAAGAATTAGGGAAGCACTCATAAAATAAACGAAGCGTTTTACTGGTGACTTTCCCGGCCATATTTATTTTTGTCTTGTTGCCTGGGTTATGCAGCCACAGCTGTCGAGCTGACATATCTTCACATAGAGACACAAACAAAATCAATCTTTGTTTTCAACAAAAGGTCTTAGTTTTAAAAATTCTTGAAAGATTAATAGTTGTGAACTCAAGTGTGAAAAACAATTGCAATCTTTCAAATAAAGCAAAACATTAAGACATTAAAATCAAAAGATTTAAATTTTACCAAAAAATAAAAAATATAAATTTTGAGAATGTTTTTCTGTTTGTAGTAGTTATATTAAATCACCTTTCATGCAGTGATAAACACATCAACAACGTTTTACATGACAGCTGATATTTTCATGTTTATCTGATACCAACTAAACATTTCTATAACAATATGAACAGAATAAGAAAGATGTTTTGATCCTTTACCAAAGTCTCATTGTATTAAACTGAACCAAACAGGTTACACCATTCATTAAATACCTTTCTATTATATATATGGGGGCCTGCTGTGGTCTGGATTTTACAGATCATGATATAAAATGTCCTGGTAGGATAGGACAACATGGCATATTTGTTGTGTATGTTGGGAGTTGATATACCAAGCTCATTCACAAGTATACAATGCCATTAGGCTAACATTGCGGGGAATCAAAAGACAGATTTACCCTACCTGGTATAATATAACCAGGTTTTATCATACATTGTCACAAAATGATTGAAGGGGCTGGGCCTCGCTCCTAGTTTGATACAAAAATGCCGGAGATATCATGAGCATTGAGGCGTTCCACATTGTTACTATAGGGCAGATTAGTTCGATCGTTTTACCTGGGAACGATCTTAACTACGGAAATTGATGGAAAGTGCATCACACATCACAAAGAATGGTGGAATTGTGCTGAAGTTTAAGGATGGAAAACTTACAGAACTTTAATTATGTTACAATTCCTACGTGAATAACTGAGTTTGTCGGTGGATTACAGACAAATGATGGAGTATTTATTTCCAGGTGTGTGCTAATCCATGGAATTTTAATTAATGTTTTAATTATTTTCTTCCTCATGTACCTGACAGCCTCAATACTTCTATGGACAGTGCATGGTGTTTAAATTCCTTCATTTTGTCTGGAATCTAATTTTTCTGTAACATGGATGGAATTATGAAAATATGGCCTTCACCAAATTGGCTTTCCGACTCAATTACCTGCAGAATATCTGCTGTATTACTACAAAGTAACATTGTCACAACAGTTTGAAATATCAAATTGCCATCAGCACATTCTTTGATTTGAAATGTGTTCAAAAGTCTGCCATCCTGCAAACTGGTGTTTTAGGAGGATATTTACAACAGTTGTAGATTCAGTAAACATTTTTACGATATCTCTGTAGGGGTTTGTCACACCTACAGGCCAGGTGAGAGAGACTTTTTCCCTCACCAATAGTAAGAGCCGAGTGTTTCACAGGTAGCGACACATTAATTGAGAGATGTCATACCTGAGGACAGGTATAAAGTCAGCAAATGTCAACCAAGTTTGCTGCGGACCTGTTAATTATCCCGGAGAGACGGAACCTAACATTTCTTATTTAATATCTACAAATGTACGCTGCTGATAGAAACAACACAAGTATGGTTGCCATCTGGTCTTTGTCTCCGAATAGAGCCACAAAAATATCTTAATTATATATATTGTCTTTGGAACCTAGACCATGTATAATTCATACAGGAAAAAAAGATAAGGACAAGTGTCTCGGAGCACGGTGGTTAATATTTTAAGTGATTTGTGAGGAATGACATCTTGTGACACGTTTGGCGAGGGTATATAATGTTTGTAAGAGGATATTTGACTAGAGATTTACTGGAGTGTGTTGGCTATGTCAATACCAAGGGGTAAACCCATGTAATACAGTGTCAAGCATTCACGGAGAACAACACATCTCATTTCACTGTGTCAATTCCTCAATAATGTTGTAACAGATATACTGTTCCAGCTCCATTGTACTGGCCCCGGGTCTTGGGAGGTACTTTAACATTTTGGATTACACCTCCTCATGTAGGTAAACACACTAGTCTCCAGTGTTTTTGTGAGGGCTTTAAGCAACTTGTTACATTTTACGCTATGGCTTGGTAAAAACTACACGTCTATTATTTTGTGAAAAGGAGCTGTACGTTTGTTTGCACACTAAGGACACTTGGGCTGTGATTGAACTTAGAGAAGCTTATTATTTGAAAACAAATTTAAATTATCCTTAGCTGGGAATGGTCTGGTGGTTCACTCTGAGTATATTTCGGTAAGACTCTGGACTGGCGATAGACACGCTGTGTCTGTGTAACATTGTTTTGGGTTGAAACTGGTAATTAACTCTTTAATGTTTTATTTAGTGTAAAATATTTTGCAATTTCATTTTGAAAATTAAACAATTTCCATTTAAAGTATTAATCCAGACATTTATTTCTTTAACAGATTACCTGCGTTGAAGGAAAAGAAAGAGGATTATGTTGGAAGAGTAGCCAGGAAAAGAGTTTCGCAAATCAACTCCCATCATGTGTGTTTTTCTCCCCTTGCTGGTGTTGGCGCTGACTTTGGTATCTCAATGTCAAGCTGAAATCCGTTTTACAATTTTTGAAGAGCTACCGATCGGTCATGAGGTAGGAAACATTGCTCTAGCAGGAAAATTCAATGAAAACCGGACAACAGAGGAACTCAATGCTTTGGAGTTTTCCTTTTTGGAGACTACTCAGAATACAAAATATTTCGAACTTAACATACGGACTGGGATTTTGACTGTAAAAAAACGGATTGATCGTGATGCCATCTGTTCTGTAGAATGTAATCTCGACTTTGAAGTGGTTATTCGGTCGAGTATGTCACAGGATATCTTCTTTCCCTCAGTGACTGTGGTTGTAGAAGATACCAATGACAATATTCCAGTGTTTCAGCACACGAGCTGGAAGTTGGAGATTCCTGAAAATGCAGCTCCAAACTCGGCGTACAACATCATACCAGCTACAGATAATGACACAAGTCTCCAATTCTCTATCCAAAACTACTCCTTGTCTCCGGCCACTACATTGTTCACCTTGAACGTGACGAAAAAATTAGATGGAAAATTTCTCGTTCAGTTAGTGGTGAAACACCCACTGGATCGTGAACTTCAGTCTTTTTACCAGATGTATGTCACAGCGGAGGACGGAGGGCCAACCCCCAACAGTGGCAAAATGCTGGTGAACATTTCTGTAACGGACCTGAATGATAATCCTCCGATATTTACCAAGTCTGTGTATAATGTCACCGTGAAGGAGGATACACTACCAAATACATCAATCCTACAGGTCAAGGCCACAGACAAGGATGCCGGAGAGAACGGACGGGTAACGTACAGGATAGTTCCAACAACAGACACAATTATTCAGGACCTTTTTCATATTGATGCCTCCACTGGAGATCTGCACATTCTGACCCAGCTCACGTACAAACCCGGCGAAAGTTACACCATGATCACCGAGGCGACCGATCACGGTGACACCAAGAAAGTGACACAGGCTAGAGTGAATGTTTATGTGGAGGATTCTGGGAACAATCCACCCACAGTCCGAATCAACATCCTGTCCGGGTCCGGTAATGTTGTGTCAATACAAGAATCGGCTAATGTGGGTGCTTTTGTGGCTCATGTCAGTGTAGAAGACTCTGATCAGGGAGAAAATGGACGTGTGGATTGTGTTGTCTCTAGTGCATTCTTTAGAGCAGAAAATATACCTCCGGGAAAAGGATTTAAAATCTTACTCAACCATGAGCTTGACAGGGAGAATGAGGTGAATCACAGTGTGATAGTGACATGCCACGACTTTGGTTCTCCCGTGATGAACGTTTCGGCTAACTTTACCGTATCGGTCACCGACGACAACGACAACGATCCCATCTTCCTCAAAAACCCATACACAGCAAGGATTTTGGAAAATAACCAGATTGGTGACAAGATCGTCCAGGTATCGGCACGCGACATTGACGAAGGTGTTAATTCCCAGGTCCACTACTACCTACACAGTGACGCTGGATCTAACTTTGCAATCCAGTCAGAATCTGGTGTAATCACAGCTACAAACTCTTTTAATCGTGAACAGAATGCTGATTTCAAATTCAAGGTTTTGGCTGTCGACCGAGGTGATCCACCTCGAACAGGCACAGCCTCTGTGTATGTCGTTGTTGAGGATGAAAACGACAATAAACCTGTGTTTAACCAAACAATTTTCGCATTTGATATCTTGGAAAACAAAGTTGCAGATTCGTTTGTGGGACAGGTTGGGGCAATTGACCCGGACAAGGGAGATAACTCGAGGATAACCTACTATATCTCCCCACAAGATGAACTGTTGGTGCCTTTTATTGTTTTTCCAAATGGAGATATAAGGACGAGCCAGCAGCTTGACCGGGAGTCGCAGAGTCAGTATAACTTTGTAGTGTATGCCACTGATCACGGAGACCGCCCTCTAAACAGCTCCGCCTATGTTACTGTGTATGTGATGGACACCAATGACAACGATCCTATCATAATATATCCCAACAAAACCAATCACACGATTTGGTCCAAGTCTGGGACCTCTCTTCCTCTGACGACAATTCAGGCCTATGACATTGACGAGGGCTCAAACAAACAACTAACGTACTACATCCACGAGGGAAATGACGACGACATGTTCCTGTTACACCCAGAATCTGGGGAACTGTTCCTGAACAGTAACTACCCCATTGGTAAAGACAAGTCTGTGAACCTGGTGATATGTGTGAAGGACGGTGGTCTCCCTGTTAGAGCTAAATGTGCCCAACTTACGGCAGTGATTACCGTCAACAATGCCACAAACACCGGTGCTCAGCGGGAGTCGACCAGTTACATAACCATATCTATTGTTGTTGTCATAGTGACCGTCCTTGTGTCTGCTGCTATTATTTTGACAATTTTCTTTTTGCGAAAAATCGATAAAAATCGTCAAAAGCAGAAATATGGAGCTAATGGACCCCTTGGTGTTCCTATGCCAAATAGTTACTCATCGTCTCCAGCGTCATCACAGCAAGATGTCAACTCAGATGCTGAATTCATGGAAAGAAAGAAGAAAGAAGTGACATTTTCTCCAAGTACAAGCTTCGATAACATGAACAATAAAGGGATGGATATGACCTATCAAATCACCACGGATACCAAGCCGGTAAGTACATGTACATGCCTACCCCAGTTATTTACCTGTATTGGTAAGAAATGGCTTACTGGTATTTTTCTAATAGGTACAAGACAGCTAGGGGAATTTGTCAACTTCTTCAGTAGTTTGGAAAACATTGTTAGTCTTTAAAACAAAGCAAAAAATAAATGAGATAAACCAGTTTTAACTAGGTGGGTAAAGGTTTGGATGAGACTCAAAAAGGCCAGTTAACACAATTAGAGGCCAATTGTATTCTAAACCATGTAGTTACATAGTAGGTCATATTGACCCTTCATTGTCATAATTAGTGCTGGATAAGGCAAGATTGTTATATTTAGGTTTATAAAATAATAATTTCCGGTATTAACTATGTGACTATGTTAGATATGTACAGTTGTAGATATCGGTAATTACCGGTATGTAAAATTGTTCCTTAGTTATATCTAACGGAGGTTTGTGTTCAGTGTTTCCCCACTAACTGTGGAGAGTATATACCTTAAAGTAGGAATGATGGAGTGGTATACTGTCCTTACTGGTAGACATGGTCGCCCCCTGTCAGGGGATAAAACCTGGCCTGACATCATCCTGACCTCTGGACAACGCTGATGGATGGAGGTGACACCCCCTCGACAATTACATAGGGATGACTGATGTATAAAACAATGTTAGGGACTCTCGGGGAAAACAACACCAGAACCTGTTACCAGATGTCTTACATAGAGGCAAAACTGTTTAATGCTACATAGCTATTTAATTTGGGGTTTTCTTTGTCTTTTCACAAAATGCTTAAAACAAATAGAATATTTTTCCAAACAAAATACCTGTTAAACAAACTATATATGCCGTTTGATATAAGAATTTGGATAGCATCTTCATTGCTCATAGATCTAAAAGATTTTTTTTTAAGTAAAGAAAAGTTGTTGCTATGATAAAAAAATAGTACATGTCTGCGTAGGTCTGTGGTGTTGCAGGTTTGAACGTGATAGGTTAAGACTTTATTTAATAAATTTAAAATCAACTCCACCTCCATGCCCATAAGATACTTATATTTGTTTTGGCCACATTTTAATTATTGATACTTAGTTTTGTTATATTCGATTTCATTCTTAAGTTAAAGGAAGGATTAAAGAGATAAATTCACAAACATATACTAAACCAAGAACAAATTGGCGATAATATACCCCGTTATAATCACACCATCTCCAAAAGAAAGCTGTCTCAAGCTGCCTAGAGGGCGAAATATGTTTAATTTCTCCAGATTTAGGCGGGACATCTTTTCGTTGATAAAGAGATTTATTTCTCCGCAGGATAGAAAAGGATATATCTGTAATCCTTAGGTTAAGCAGTTAACTCTGTGTTTTCATTGGCTGGTTTGAAGCGGTCAGTTTGTCATGGTCAGTTTGAATTTCGTTCTAATATTTAGAACTGTCGGGACCCAGTTGTACTGTAGCGTACCTACATCATGTACGCGTCCAGTTTATGTTTGCCTGCCGTCACAGGTATATCAGAGAGAAAAATCACTACTTTAAAAAGAACAAATAGTTTACCACGATTCACAAAAAAAAATTAATCAAAATTTAGAGAAATAAAAATAAAAAATATTTGAACTTAATGGGACATCTCAATATTTATCTGTGTAAACTCTAACCTGGTTTTGATATGGTACCTAAAAAGACATGTAGATCTAATCCTGGTGTACGACAAATCAAAAACCGATACGGGTAATATTATATGTTTTTTATTGATACACATGGAAAAATATAGCGAGTGGCGTAATGTAAAGGTACCTGTATATTAGATCTGTAGTAATATCTAGCTTTGTCCGTTATCACACCGACTGTATATGTAAACTACATCAAGGTATAATACCACTTTTACACATGGTAACATGACTGGGGTCACAGAAATTACATTTATGACTAGGTATAAAGTATACAACAAAGTTTATGTTTTCCTTTGGTTTTCATTTTCTATACTGTCCAGCTGTTGTACATTTTAACATTGTATACATTTGATTTGGCTTGAAATTATCCCCACTTTATAGTATATATCAGGAGTGGGCCATGCTTTTATCTCGGCCTTTCATTACACATACTGGCCGCCCCTTTAATTTAAATGTACTCGGAGAGTAGGACCATTCAGAGTGAATGAAGTACCCTACCACCAATCCGCCAGGTAAATACAAACAAATCAGGGGAGATAATGTATTAGTGTGAAATGTTTTCATTTGAGCTGGGAGGCCGAATCACCATGTGGCCAATAAGCTGGACATTATTGACTAATTGGAGGCCAATATTTTGCCAATATCCCTAAGCCTGTTGCTTGTTTTTCTGTCTATTTTTCCAAGATCTTATCTCGCCCAGTACTCAGATATATATGTTATGTACATTTTTAACTAGAATATTAAGTAAACACCTGTGATCTGGTTAAAATCATTTTGGTTATGATTATTTTGGGAAAACATTTTTCATTTTATTGTATTTTTTTTTTTAATTACCTGGTAATAGTAAAAGAAATATTTAATCTGAATAAAAGGCTTTTAAGGTTTTAACCTGCCACTAGTTAATGGGATAGCGTTACATTTTCACATCATGTTCCATGGATACATGGCATGAACACATGCGATACAAACATTATGTCAATGTACATGTCATTTCAAAGTGTTTTAATTCAAGTTTTATGTGAAAAAATTGTCAATAAATTGTAATTCAAACCCATTATTACCCCAAATAGTATTTGAATGAAAACAAGCACACCTTTTTTTTTATGAATGGTGGGTAAATTACCCGGTTGATTTCATGCTTTTTACGAGGGGAAACGGCACTTGACAGAATCTGTTACAGAAGAACTTGTCACATGTATCCTAAACCACAGTATCAAATATATAGAGTAATTCAGCGTGATTAATTTGATTTTCATTTGAATAATATCATTACTACATTGTATCAGAACTAGAACAAAACTAACTGGTCAATATCTTTTTAACAAAGTGAAATATTTTACAATTCAATATTAAAAGCAGACTTCTTACTATAGTTCTGTTCGTACAGAATGGTTGGTCAGTACATACCATAAATATATTTTATATACTCTGTATAATAGTTGTAATGTACAAGCTGCTTTGAAGGGTCATCTGTATCTATGGTGACATTGTGTCTAGGGGTCATCTAAAAATAGCCACAGGGTCAACCTCACTTGAATGCTTTAAGCTAAACACAAAAGTATTTTGGTTATTAAAAATTGCTAAAACTAGCTTTTGATTATAAGATTTAAAGTAGTTGATACAAAAATAAAAATTCTTTCTAATAATTTAATGTTTTTCACATGTCTTAAAAAAGTCTTTCTTGTCAAAATATTTTCTGCATTTATATTTTTACATGGCAGCATTACACTGAAATGTAACGATAGTGTCGACAGGTCTCAACATAATCGTAAACATTAACTTAATACATTTGGGTAAATGAATATTCATGTAGGCTTGCTTAGTATAATCCATCATAACAACAATCCATAATTCATTCTGGGAAAGGAATCCGCCTCTAAACAAATGTTGATATTTGATGAATTCGAAATATTGAACAACCAATGAGAACCCTTTTCTTCTTCCTGCAGGGAATGTACCTCTACGACTCCGTGCCAGCCCCCGAAACCAGCCGCAAAAATACCCAACAAACAGCACAACTTAACGCCCTACATCTCCAACAGTTATTGTTCAAAACTCACCAACAGGAACAAGCTGAGGTAATACAACCAATCCCAGTGAAAGGTGTCAGCCATTCTAGATACTGGGAGAGTCTGTGGTTCTCATGTCAATATACGTATGTTGTATGTTAAGGTCTATTGGAATAGAGGTTATTCAGTGATCATGATGGTCATTGCTTTAATGGTAGGATTGTAGAGCAAAGCAAGATCTGCAAACAAGGATTTTTTTAGAAACAAGTGCATCAAATATGTGACACTTTCTCAGCAATAATGTGTCAGGTTAATTCACTTTAGATCAAATGCTGATATCACAAGCTTAGAAATTCTAATTTGCGCTCCTGCTATCGATTTCATTGTCTACTTTCAAATAAAAATAAGTTGTCATAGTGATGTCATTAGCAGAACTACAAATGATATCTATGGGGTGTAACGAATAACGAGTCGGTTGCTCCTTCAAACTTCACACATCATGTAACATGCGACTGAATTATTCACGGTGAACATGTCGCTGGGCTCGACAGAACACTGTCGCATCTGATCCTGGTCGGGACAGAATCAATATTCTCTAATTGGCTGTTGTTATGTCACATGGGACGTCCCAGGCTTCTGTACAAGGTCTTTGAAGATCTGTCACAGATAACACGTTGATTAAGGCCCTGTTTAGATTGAAAATCTTACACAAGCTTTAGCGAAAAAATCTGAAATATTCATGCTTCAAGTGAAATGAATTCCTGAAAATGACCTCTCATCTTATTTGCTTATTTCTGCATTAGTCATTATCTTATTAGTCATTTTGTGTATTTACTAAATCAGAACTTAATTGTTTTCCATATAATGATTTATATTTCCTTTTTTTGTAGTCAAGTGCTCCACCTAGAGTTGCGCACCCTAGTGACAGCAACAGTGATACATCAGGGGAGACAATCCCTAGCGACAGTGGGAGGGGAGGAAGTGAGGATGAAGTCCCCAATAGTCATCACACTGGAGGTAAGACATTGATCTCTTCTCATTTCCAGTGGACATTATGTATATACTATATTTATATTAAAACAATTGTGAAACTAATTTTATCACCTAATGTTTATCGCTATTGTTGGCCAAGATGGAACCCACAACGTGTTTTATATTATATATGGTAAATGGTAAAATGTGATCCGCTTTTTCATTCAACAAAGTCTACTCTTTATATATTACGTCACTTCAAAGTTGTATTTTCCCTTTGTCATTATCCATGTTGTCATCAGCTTCCTCAGATCCTTTGGGTGACTATGTTACAAGAAACATCACCTGACATTCTTTAAAAATTCATTACTTATTTGATTTTATTTCTGGTTTCAGATGACTCCAGATCCTTTGATTGTGGATCTTACAATTCTCATACTGGAAGTTTCCGCCCTGCTCCGAACATTCCACTTCGTAAACAGAAGCTCCCTCCTCAAGTACAAGCAAAGATTTCAAATAACAGGCTGTACCCAAAGTCTAGTACTCCCACACAAATGTTTACTGGACCAAATCGGCCCTATTCTACGAGTACAGAGCACTTGAACGAGAAAAAACTTTTGTCTGATTCAAATTCAGTGCAGAGGGGACAGAAAAATGGACCTTATGTGCGATCAGCACCGAGTCATTCTAGTTTTACCTCACCTCATACCCAGTCCTACCTGGACAGCAAAGCGAAATCCTCAAACTTTAATACATGGAATTACTTACAGCCAAATCATTCTGTGAATTACTCAAACATTTCAAAAGACAGAGACTACTTTAATCTCCGCACGGATAGTATCAGTACTTTTCGGTCGCGGGACGACGATGATGATGCAGCAACAACCACATCAGGAAGCTATACAATTAATCCAGAGGAGCTGGAGGATGATTTGTATCGAACACATCAAGATATGGTTGTGTAGTGACACAACGATCATGATCTTCATGTGATTCGTGGCCATATGTTATTGTTACAATTTTTGTTACTTTTCGTCATTTCATGTGTTATAATCAAAAGTTTCACTGCATGCAGCATGTTATATGTACAGTACTCTATGACTTGTAAGAATAATTAATCCACTGTGATAGAACTAATGATATAGAAACAGAAAACACTACCGGGTATCTGATTTTATGATGATGACAATGTTGTAACGGTTCACTAACTTTTACTGATAACTTTTTAGAATCAATCAATGGTAACTTTTAACAGATAGTCAGGAACCTTTACGCATGTATCATGTTGATATTAAAATAGAGATGTATACTCATCATGACTGGTAGGGAACCAATCCCAAGTGGGTAGCAGTGTGTCCCACTGACAGAGGACAGTTTAATCAACACGCTGATAAAGGTCTTTCAGGTTAGACAATTATTTATTTATGATAACATTTACTGCAACAGGGAAAACATCAAACATATAGGTTTGATGTGATGTGAAATGTACATCTTAATTGGTTACGGACGTGTTAATTGTTTGGTGACATCAGGAACGGAATGTCATGATGACTTTTTAGGGCAGACTAGTCCATTACTAGACATGTTCAAATTAATAAAGAATATATTATTCATTTAATATTGCCCATTTTTGTAACGTTACACAGATAATTTATCAATTATTAAATGGTAAATCTTAATTTAGATTTCCAATGACAAGATTTGAATAGACCTTACCTCAGTGCTTGTGACATAACTGGTCTGGTGTCTCTTTTCAAAAATGTTTGTCACAGGCTACTGAAATAAAAACCACCCAATTGATATTGTACCCAGCAGGGCCTTCAGACACTGACTTTTAACCTGAACAGTATTGCTGACGATTACATCAATAAATGCAGCTCTCTATACCCCAGAGCAGCACAGACATCAATGAAACAGTGTGTAGTAACAGATTTTGGGTTACTTTGTGCTAAAAAGAACACATACAGAAAAGGTTAATGTGCTGATGTTTGTTTCTTTTTATTTATATCAGTTTTTTCAAGGACTTTATTTACTTGTACGAGAGTTCTATATAATAACATGACCTGCAAAACTGTGTTATGGTTCAATTTTTACTATCAAAGTATGTGTGCTATCTAAAAACTAGGACATGCATCTATTTTCCAATGTAAAACACTCCAAAGACTCTGATTTACTAGAGATGATATTGGGGAAGAAGGGAGATGTCTCCGAGACAGGTCACTGGTACAATATGTTACTGTAAGGCTGTATAAAACTAGTAGAAGTGAGACGTTGTGTATTGAATGATTGACAGACATGTATATTTATATACTGTACATTATTGTTTACCAAAGACACAAATTTTGTTGATGGAGTCCTCATTTTACCCTGATACATTGAGAAGTACTGTGTGAGGGGTTATACGGACCATAGGGGGAGACATGTGTTGGTAATGTCCTACTATATATAGGGTGCTAAAATAAATAGTTCTATTTTCTTAACAAAAATATATGGACATTATATTGCTATTTGCCTTCTGTAAACCATTTCATCCCTAGGTAACTTGGGTAGACTCTACCATACATTCATCTTGATGAGTCCATTATGATCTACAGGGGTGAAAGGGTTAATGTAAAATGAAATCAAAATATGTTTCTATTTTATTTTTTAATAAAAAGATTGTTGCACTAAGGTTCACTCGATTGAATCCATGAATTTGTTAAAATCTTCGAAGAAAGTAGTGCCTGTTAATAAAATTTCACAAAGATGATTAAATCTTAGAAATGGTTGTAATTACAGATATTGAGTTGTAAACCCTTGGCATGTTCTGCTTAACAGTGGTGGTGTAAGCCTCTATATAATACTGCAATATGTTGTGATACTACCATGTTGCCTTGTTGTTTTGTCAATTCATGACATTAATATGCATGTTGTTGTTTGTTGTTAAAATTGTGTATTATGATTAATTGTTGAGCAGCTAAATTAAAACAATTTAATGAATATATCATCTTTTGTTATTTTTGAATTTGGGATGTAAACAATATACTTGTATAGGTTCTTTGTTGTCATTTTGGTTCTATTTTTGGCTAAATTACAGGAGTGTAATGATTTTAGAATACCATTCTTTAAGAATCATCAAAATGGTGAATGAAAAAATATCAGCCATCTTTTTCAGAAAAAAGTAATGCCGTCTAATTAAGATGATAAGAAGGAACACATTGAAGTAATTGTTCAAGGATATAATTTGAAAGAAAATAGAAAAAATACACACAAGGGCAAACATTAAACTGGAAATCAGCATGAAAAGACAGGAACCAGTCAGAGGCACCAAACACATGGAGTGACAGGAACCCAAACAGCCATCTCCTAAATCGTTTCCTACCCAACAAGTGGCACCAATCCTGACGTTTTTTGTAAGAGGCTAGGAAGTATGTCAGCCACAATATCTAAGATTCCTTACATCATATTGTAAGATTTCAATGTAGTTAATTTGGTAATAACGACTAAAGTACCATTTTGTTAATGTAGAATGAAGACTTTTATGTAGATAACCTTGGATACGTGATTTCTATGTCTAGGTAACATCTGGCTCTGTCTGGAAAAGTGATTTAACTGATACTGAAGCTAGACTAGTATGTTGCTACAGAGGAAACGTTCAGTCTTAAAAATGGCAATTTTAGATTTTTTAGTTTGATTTAAACTCGTTGAATTATAACATACAACGGATACATGGTTACATTGCACAGATGTACAGGATATGCGATCATTTCCTAAGTGGCTGATTTATTTCCACGATTTTGGCGTTAAATTTAACACGACAGAGGATGTTTTTAATCAAGTACCATTTGAACACTAGAGAAACCGCAAGTTCAACATGGTGGTAATGAAGGAATACTGTACGGATTTGTTGAGGTTAATTGAACAATACTGGCATGGATTCTGGACAAATATGCTCCGGTTCTAAAAATGAAGTCATCAATATTAATCATGCAGGAAGGAATCGGTGAACTGTAGAATATCCATTTATACCAACTAGACACTTTTTAGGGGGGGAGGGGGGGGGGGTATAAAAACTCTAACCTTATCATCAATCCCTCTGAAGTTGTATCTGCCTATGGAAAATAATGTTGTATAACTTTAATGAAAGACTGCTATTTGAAAACAAATGTTGACACCAAGTCCGGGTACATTTTACATACCGTATGTAGAGAAAGTTTCAATATATGTTGAAGATCAATACAATAGAAAGAGTTCTGCTTAAGGTGTCAAATTGTAATCATATAAAATATAAATCACACACACCATCAACAACCATGGATATCAAACAAATGTCGTAAATTTTTAATCTACTCGTTTAATGCAATCATTTTCTTATAAGTTTGCCTAAATTTGTGTGCAGAGGGTTAGACACAAGTTATGTCAACTTATCAACGCATTCTCCTCGGATACAAATACTTTTAATTACACGTATACATCGCATGTTAATAACAAACGGCAAGTATGAAAAGTTGCTGGCATTAGTGAAATTGACACCTGATTGAAGGATATGGCTGCTATGCTGATGTATAGAACGCATCATAATGTATAGAGCATATACTCGGTGTTATCTTGTAATACATCAGTGTTTATCATTGATGAGTGGAAACAAAACAGAAACCACTAGAAATTGATCGAAGTGAATCGTATAAATGAAAAATAAATGTAAATGAGGACAGGGCATGGATATGTTTCAAATTACTTTGACAACATGTAAATTATGTAACGGAAAAGATAACATTGTTATTCAGCAAAAACAATAAAATAAACTAATGGAAACTTCCGATCGATATATAGAGACATAAACAGTTGTTAAGGAAGAATAAGCGTGTCCCTCTGTATGGATTATACCCCAGGCTCGATTGATATATAGAGACATAAACAGTTGTTAAGGAAGAATAAGCGTGTCCCTCTGTATGGATTATACCCCAGGCTCGATTGATATATAGAGACATAAACAGTTGTTAAGGAAGAATAAGCGTGTCCCTCTGTATGGATTATACCCCAGGCTCGATTGATATATAGAGACATAAACAGTTGTTAAGGAAGAATAAGCGTGTCCCTCTGTATGGATTATACCCCAGGCTCGATTGATATATAGAGACATAAACAGTTGTTAAGGAAGAATAAGCGTGTCCCTCTGTATGGATTATACCCCAGGCTCGATTGATATATAGAGACATAAACAGTTGTTAAGGAAGAATAAGCGTGTCCCTCTGTATGGATTATACCCCAGGCTCGATTGATATATAGAGACATAAACAGTTGTTAAGGAAGAATAAGCGTGTCCCTCTGTATGGATTATACCCCAGGCTCGATTGATATATAGAGACATAAACAGTTGTTAAGGAAGAATAAGCGTGTCCCTCTGTATGGATTATACCCCAGGCTCGATTGATATATAGAGACATAAACAGTTGTTAAGGAAGAATAAGCGTGTCCCTCTGTATGGATTATACCCCAGGCTCGATTGATATATAGAGACATAAACAGTTGTTAAGGAAGAATAAGCGTGTCCCTCTGTATGGATTATACCCCAGGCTCGATTGATATATAGAGACATAAACAGTTGTTAAGGAAGAATAAGCGTGTCCCTCTGTATGGATTATACCCCAGGCTCGATTGATATATAGAGACATAAACAGTTGTTAAGGAAGAATAAGCGTGTCCCTCTGTATGGATTATACCCCAGGCTCGATTGATATATAGAGACATAAACAGTTGTTAAGGAAGAATAAGCGTGTCCCTCTGTATGGATTATACCCCAGGCTCGATTGATATATAGAGACATAAACAGTTGTTAAGGAAGAATAAGCGTGTCCCTCTGTATGGATTATACCCCAGGCTCGATTGATATATAGAGACATAAACAGTTGTTAAGGAAGAATAAGCGTGTCCCTCTGTATGGATTATACCCCAGGCTCGATTGATATATAGAGACATAAACAGTTGTTAAGGAAGAATAAGCGTGTCCCTCTGTATGGATTATACCCCAGGCTCGATTGATATATAGAGACATAAACAGTTGTTAAGGAAGAATAAGCGTGTCCCTCTGTATGGATTATACCCCAGGCTCGATTGATATATAGAGACATAAACAGTTGTTAAGGAAGAATAAGCGTGTCCCTCTGTATGGATTATACCCCAGGCTCGATTGATATATAGAGACATAAACAGTTAAGGAAGAATAAGCGTGTCCCTCTGTATGGATTATACCCCAGGCTCGATTGATAACAAACCCACTCTAGTTTTTGTTGTGTTTGACGTTACATCGTTTATAGTTTAGACTTTGTGACGGGATTTGAACAAAGTTGGGGTTCAAAAAAGTAAAATTTTATATAGATACTGCAATTTTAGCAGTTATAGAAGTTTATCAGAATTTTGAAAACACCTGTTTGGAAGTTGTTTTTAGCTATGACGGTTTTGATAATTGGTACTGATAAGTTCTTCATATGTATACAAACCGTTATTTCTACAAACCACCTGGGGTTGACCTCAGCTTAGTTTGAGCTAAAGTTTTTTTTGTGAGTTGTGCTTTAAATGTCCACTTTTCAGTTATAAACACGCCAGAAACTTGATAAAATTTAGATCCGGGGAAGTATGCACCATTGCAACACTGAATCTGAAGATTTCATTACTTAAAAACTATAATGTGTGTGGATTGTCCTAGTTGTAATTTATGTAAAGCTTATAGTTGTGTGGATTGTCCTAGCCATAATTTATTTTAAGATTATATTTGTGTGAATTGTCTTAGCCGTAATTTATGTAAAGTTTATAGGCGTGTGGATTATCCTAACCGTAATTTATGTGCAGCTAATAGATGTGTGGATTATGTTTGCCGTAACTTATGTAAAGCTAATAGATGTGTGGATTGTCTTTGCCGTAATTTATGTACAGCTAATAGATGTGTGGATTGTCTTTGCTGTAATTTATGTAAATTTATTAGTTGTGTGGATTGTTCAAGCCGTAATTTATGTAAATCTATTAGTTGTGTGGATTGTCTTTGCCGTAATTTATGTACAGCTAATAGATGTGTGGATTGTCTTTGCCGTAATTTATGTACAGCTAATAGATGTGTGGATTGTCTTTGCTGTAATTTATGTAAATTTATTAGTTGTGTGGATTGTTCAAGCCGTAATTTATGTAAATCTATTAGTTGTGTGGATTGTCTTTGCCGTAATTTATGTACAGCTAATAGATGTGTGGATTGTCTTTGCCGTAATTTATGTACAGCTAATAGATGTGTGGATTGTCTTTGCTGTAATTTATGTAAATTTATTAGTTGTGTGGATTGTTCAAGCCGTAATTTATGTAAATCTATTAGTTGTGTGGATTGTCTTTGCCGTAATTTATGTACAGCTAATAGATGTGTGGATTGTCTTTGCCGTAATTTATGTACAGCTAATAGATGTGTGGATTGTCTTTGCCGTAATTTATGTACAGTAAATAGATATGTGGATTATGTTTGCCGTAACTTATGTAAAGTTAATAGATGTGTGGTTGTCTTTGCCGTAATTTATGTACAGCTAATAGATGTGTGGATTATGTTTGCCGTAATTCATGTAAATCTATTAGTTGTGTGGATTGTCTCTGCCGTAA